ATATCTTATCCCAACCCTTTACTCTGAGGTAATGTCTGTCTTTGAATTCGAGGTGTGTTTCTTGTATGCAGCAGAAGGATGGATTCTGTCTTTGTATCCAGTCTGTTAGCCTGTGTCTTTTTATAGGCGAGTTAAGACCATTAATATTGAGGGAAATTAAGATCCATTGAGTGTTTATTCTTGTTTGCTTTTGATTTGTTGTTGGCACTGGTATTGTATGTGGATTTATCCTGCCTTTTATTTTGTGTTTTTTGTAGAGTGGGAGTATCTATTGCCTATGTTTATGTGAGTGTAGTTAATTTCCTTAGGTTGGAGTTTTCCTTCCAGTACTTTCTGTAGGGCTGGATTAGTGGTTACATATTGTTTAAATCCTGTTTTGTCATGGAATATCTTGTTTTCTCCATTTATAGTGATTGAAAGCTTTGCTGGGTATAGTAGTCTGGGCTGGCATCCATGTTCTCTCAGAGTTGGTAGAATATCTATCCAGATCCTTCTGGCTTTCAGAGTTTCCATGGAGAAGTCTGGTGTAATTCTGATAGGTTTGCCTTTATATGTTACTTGGCCTTTTTCCCTTGCTGCTCTTAATATTTTTTCTTTATTCTGTATGTTTGGTGTTTTAATTATTATGTGACGAGGGGACTTTCTTTTGTGGTCCACTCTATTTGGCGTTCTGTAGGCTTCTTGTACTTTCATTGGCATGTCTTTCTTTAGGTTGGGAAAGTTTTCTTCTATGAATTTGTTGAATATGTTTTCTGCACCTTTGAGTTGGGTGTCTTCACTTTCTTCTATATCTATTATCCTTAGGTTTAGTCTTTTCACGGTGTCTCATATTTCCTGGATATTTTGTGTTATGGATTTGTTGAACTTCAGATTTTCTTTGCTTGATGTACTTATTTCCTCTAATTTATCTTCAGCATCTGAGATTCTGTCTTCCATCTTTTGTATTCTATTGGTTCCTGATTGTTTACTCATCTTTTCCACTTCCAGCATTCCCTCAGTTTGTGTTTTCTTTATTGTATTTAATTCAGTTTTCAGGTCCTGAACTGTTTCCTTCAGCTGTTTAGTTGTATTTTCTTGGCGTTTTTGGCTTTCCTTGATTTCTTGCATCTTTTGGTTCTTCTCCTCTCTTAGGTTCTCTATCATCTGCATGAAGTTGTTTTGAAGGTGGCTCTCTCCTGCTTCTTCTGTGTTGGGATGTTCATGTCTTGCTGGTGTAGAGTCCCTAGACTCTGGTGGTGTCATATTCGTTTTCCTGTTGTTGGATGTGTTCTTATATTGTCGTCTTCCCATCTCTTCTTGCAGTGGGTACAGGTGGTGTCACTTCCTTTCCTGGTGTGTATGTGTCAGGTGTTCTCTTCAAGTGGGTGCAAATGGCTCCGATACTCTGATGGGTCTCAAGTTGGGTGCAGGCAGGTCTGAGGCACTCGCTCTCCAGGTGGGCGAGAGCAGGACTGGCACATAGATGTCAGCTGACTCTGGGTTGCTTGGTCCTCAGGGGTTGAGTCATCCTGTCTGCAGACCCTTAGGCAGGAGTTCCCAGAGTGGTCAGGCAGAAGTTAGGCCCAAGGCAGGGGCTGAAGCAGCTCACCTCTGCACTCTCTGCACTCTGTGGGGGCCGGAATAGCCCAACGATATCAGCAGGAGCCAGGGTCCCAGGGTCCCAGGGTCCTCAGGGACTGATTCAGTCTCTCAACTAAAGATGGATGAAGAGTAATTTGACTGTGGAAATGGGAGGGCACTGCTCCTTCCAAATATCTCAGGAGACTAATATGTGACTAGGAACTTCCTGTAAGTGTGTTATGTGTAGTCAATGATGTGTGGCAGCTTCATGGGGTTTTCCAAATAAACACATCATCCCCTGGGTCAGGGAGAACAATCTTGTCTCACACATGAGGCATTCTTCACAGAGGACTGGCTGCTCCAGCACCATATGTAGATCTTTAGAGTGTGTGGGCAGGGTTTCAGTGACGTCTGATAGAGTGACAAATGATCAAGCCAACTGGTGGCTTTTTGAGAAGCAGCTTCAAAAAGCAGCACATTTTATGATCCCAAATACTTTCCCACTAAATTTGATCAACAACCTAAACTCATTAACATTACTGAAAGACAGCCGTACCACCGGAGGCCTGCTCATCGTGTGCCAGACTTTAATAGCCTGGATCTTGTGGGCATCTGTTACAATAAGCTGGTGGGCAGCATGGTGTGAGTCTGTGTTGGCCAGTCATTTGCCTGCACGTTGCTCCCAAAATAAAGGGGACAATTCTGCACTCCCCCTTGCAGGTCCTTACAACCATAAAAATCAGTTGATGTCAGTTATATTCATTCTGCTTCTCTGATACAAACTGACCCAAATCAGTTCTTCCCTAAATGCACCAGCAGCCTTTAGCTCCCCAGGCTCCACAGAGAGTTCAGCCTGAAGTTGAATTCCTGCAGCAAATAGAATACTCATTATGCTTTGTCCTTGCTACACAAGGAACCCATCCTTCTAGGACCGGGGTGGGGTAGGGAGGTGGGCATGGCAGCTAATGACACCACCAGCATCACTACAGACACCCTGTAGTGTACTCTGCATTCCCCCTTCCAGAAAGCAGGGTCTTTTCTGGGATTGATTTGTGTGGCAACTTCATCTGGGAAGGCTAGATAGCTGTGCCCTCAGGAGGCACTAACAGTGCAGGTCACCAACTGAGCCTAAACAAGTCACCTCTCTGAGGCTGCCTCCAAATAGCCAGCAGATGACTTGCTCCCATGACAGGTAGAGCAGGCCTCGCTGGTCACAGAAGGACACAAGGCTTTTCAAGAGACTGCAGTTTGGCCAACCTTAGGAATCTAGGTCACTCATTCAGTCTTTGAGCCTGGGCTTCTCCGGACCTCACTTACATCCATATTCTTATCACTTCCCTGTTCCAAAGGCAAATGATCGGCAGATTCTAGGGGCAGGCAGCCTAAAGCTCGAAACAAGGCTTTGATAGCATTTGAGACAAATATGGAAGGATTGTGAAGTTAAAAATAATTTATTAATGAAAGTTTTAATACAATGCCTACACTAGGAAAAGTTTTCCTTGAAGTTCAACTTTCTTCCATGGTTAGACACAACCAGGAGGAAAATTAAAGTGACGTACTGATTTTAGTCTCGTCTGGCAAATAAGTTCCCAGTGCAGTATTGAATACAACTAGAAAAAGATCCAGGGCACCTAAATACTAAGAAAGAAAACTATCAGAATTCAACTTATTTCAGGCAAAAAATAGTTCATATTTATGAGTAAAATATCAGATGTTAGAAAACATAACCCATTAAAAATGCAGTTCCATTGAACCAAGTAAGTTAATGCTATCGGGCATATTTACCCCTCATATTTGGTGTTCTCTCTGAGGTATGATTTTTCTCTCATTTCTCTTCATGATCCCAATGATAAGACTTATGATAAAAGGCAGAAAGATGAAGAAGCTCAGGATCAGCCAGCTGTCCTGATGCTTAGTGAAGTGCTTTGTCGAAAGAAATACGTCTGGAAAAGAAACACCAGAAAGGACAGGTTGATCTGAAACTTAGACCCATTTTTTCCACGTTAATCTCATGCCTGCATAATGTGATTAATAATTTAGCAAACTGCAAGCAACTATCTTGGGAAATAAGAGAAGACTTCAAAACCACATGACACGTTTTCATACTTGGGAAGGCATGGTGGGGGAATACAGGGAGGGACAACTAAGACTAAAGACATTTTTTAAAAGTCATTTGGAAATTTACTCCTATAGCAGCTTCCTAAAACATATACATACACATAGAACAACATTTTAATGTATTTATGCAATAATGGGGACAAAGCCACTGCCAAACACCAGAGGCTAACAAAAGGTCCAGTATCAGGAATGGGTCACCTCTTTTAGGATTTTTTGTCAATGATGTCTCATAGTTCCAACTACTGGAGGAGAAAGTAATCAGAAGTCTGCCCGACTGTGAACCATGAGACCACAGCAATGACTGGATTGACAAGAAACTGTGCATAGGAGCTGTGTCATAGGCCCTAGAGAAAAACCCAGCACTATTGGGATAAAAAAAAGAAAGGGCCTAAAGTTTGGTGGGAAGGAAGGCAGGGTAGATCTAGGAGAAATTAGGGAAGGGTGGTGAATATGTTCCAAATACATTGTTCAAAATTCTCAAGGAACTAAAACTGAGAAAAACTTAAATGTTTTTATTTTTCATTAAAGAGATTTTATTATTCTGTGTGGCATAGATAATATTAAGCTGACCCTTAGTCATATTCCCCCTGGATTTGGTATATCCTTTGACACTGATCAGAGAAATGGTAGATGATGGTTAACAGAGACCCACGCATGGTCAAGATGCCAATTAAAAGAGATCACAGAATAGTCAGCCATAGATGAGACAGCCACACCCCACCCCTCCCCACCAAGGCTCAAGGTCATTGCATAAGTATGGGCAGAATGATTGGCAGACCCAGTGGTGGTGGGTGACTACAAGGAAATGTCTATTTGCAGACACAACAGGACAAATATGCACTCAAGAGATTTTGACAGCATGTACAAGACCTGTGCCAACTCAAGCCAGACAAACACCTAGCATGGAGAAGGAAGGCTGCACAAAGTCCCACTCATAGCTGAGCCGCAGTTGGCAATCGGTAGCTGCTGGAGAGGGAGAGTTGGATGTCTTTCACTGTGTAAGCCCTGGTCCACTGACCATGTTCCAGTGGAAGAGCACACATCCAAGAGTATATGGCCAGCAAAAATTGTACTTCGTGGGTTACAAAAATAGAGGGGACCTGAATTGGGAAGGGGGTATGGATCCAGAAAGAGCCAAGGGAGGGTGGTTAATATGACCAAACCACAAATTATTCAAAATCTTTGAGGAACTAACAACAAATTCTAAATTAAAATTCAGTTCTGAGAATTTTCAACAACAAAATCCTTTTCATTTCAGTACCACAAATTTTCTTTTCTTCCATGTTCTCTTAGTGACATAGTTGCAGTGCAATGGATAGTATTCCAAACATTTCAGTCATTCTCATTGTCTTCTGTCCTTTCCTTTAGTCTGTAGCCATAAACTTAATATTTTCTTACTGCACTTTCCTGATTAGACGATGGTGTTGACAGAACTGGCTGAAGGGCAATAACATCCATCAAGGGGGAGGAATCTGTAGACTCATACTCTTGTTATTCCAAATATCTCCCACTATTAAAAGACGGGGTCTCTTTGGTGGATGCATCATTTAAAGATTTTATCCATTCTCTCCCCTTTACTTCCTGTCATCTGATCTTTCATCACATTCACAGGGATGTTGAAACTGTCTCACCAATTACCCATAGGCCTATAGTCTTCTCCCAATTTCATATAGGCCTATATTCTTTTTGATAAATAACTCATGCATTTTTCTGATATTATTCTGCCATGACTAGAAGCAAGAATCTAGTTTTCTGTTGTTTTTAGGCCCAATTTCACACTGAAACCCAGGCTGGCCTCAGAGCAATCTTCCTGCTCTAGTCTCAAGTGCTGGGATTTCAGGCAGGAGCTACCATGGCTGGATCCAACCACTTCTTTTTTACTATACATTTTCCATACTGGAGCTCATCTCAGACAACATGTGTCTAAAATACAATGACTTTCTGAAGTTATACACAGTGTTCTCAACTCACTTTTTATTACCCCACTAATTGCTGTTTTCACCTAATGTAAGTATAAAGTTTGGATTATAAACTCTTCATGTCCTTAAACAACTACAAACAGCATTGTTAAAAAAAATGCCTTCACATGAATTCCACTATAGCCAAACTGCTTACTATTCAATTTCTTTTTCTCTGAGATAGTGTCTGGCTAGTTTATTCTCAACTTGACACAGATTAGAGTTATTTGGAAAAAGGAACTCTTAATTGAGACAATGCCTCCATAATGAGTTTGTACTGTATTTTCTTAATTAGTGACTCAGTCGTGGGTGGTACAACTCCAAGGCAGGTGGTCATCCTGGGCTTTATCAGAAAGCAAGATGAGCAAGCCGAGGAGAGCAAGCCAGTAAGCAGCACCCCTTCATGGTCTCTGCATCCACCCCTGCCTCCAGTTTCCTGCCCTGTTTGAGTTCCTGTCCAGACTTCTCTCAGTGACAGAATATGAGCTGAAAACTGTAAGATGAAATAAACCCTTTCTTCCACAAGTTGCTTTGGGTCATGGTGTTTCATCACAATAATAGAAACTCTAAATAGCACAGGGTCTTTCTCTTTAGGTCAGGCTAGCCTCAAACTTGTAGCAATCCTCCTGCTTCAGATTCCTGTGTTGAGATTACCGTCACGTTCCATCACACCCAGGTCTCACTATAAATTTAAGCAGATTATGCTCTTGCCCTGTGCAACCCTTGAGTCTCATATAAAAATTTGTACAGCATATTTGAACTTCTTGTTTCCTGTGTCAGCTATTAATTTATAACCGTGTTTTAGTCACTGTTATTTTCAAATACTTGATATATGAAACAATTTATTCATTGTTTATTTATATGTCTACTTCAGACCAATATAGCTAACACCATTGTTTATCAGGTAATATACCTCCACTTATGAAACTTCTATGTTATTGATTATGAATACTTTCTGAAACATGGATCTCAATATTATTCCTTCTGCAGGTACCTGATGACATGCTTATGGAGGGAATATATGAAGGAATGAATGATTGAACTAGTGAGTAGTTTATAACATAGCTTTTATTTGCTATAGAAACAAAGGAAAATATGAGGATGTATTCAGAATGGGACTTACCATTAGGAATACATTTATATTTTGCTGTTAATTTTTCTCAGTTTCAGTTAGAATGAACAATGTATTCCAGAGTTGCTTTTCAATAGTTTTCTGTTTTAATAATATGAAATGTGAGCCCTGCGTATAGTTCTCATTATTCTATATATGATTTTTAAATTTTTACTTAATGACATTCCTTGAAACTTAACAGTACAATTCTATTTTAATTGACTTCACTAAGTTGGTTAGAGTTGACTCCTTCTGATAAAATTCATTGCAAATATGGCATTAAGTTAATTTATTTGTAACTGGGCTGGGAAAGATACAACAAAGATGCCCTTCTGTAATTAAGACCACAATAAACAACACACTACTTGCTTTGGAGGGTTACTTGTACTGACCAGATCTGCGAGCATTTCCATCGTCGATGCTGCCCCCTGGTGATCCAATCTGTAATTTACAGTCCGGAGGCCTGTAGTCAGGAAAGCATTGGCAATTACCAAAGTTATTACATATCTAAAACAGAAAAACATGCAGTCATTTTGAATCATCTTAGTAGGTAAGTCTGATATAAACTGACTGAAATATGTAGAATATTTTTAAGGTTTTTGTAGTCACACAGTGTGAAAAATGGGTTAAAAAATTAAAACTTTGGTGGCATAATTAAAGGACAAAATCACAATGGGAAAATATAATCTAATTCTTATTGTCTATTTTTAATAAGTGTTTTTCTTCTCCAATAATCTTCTAAAAATGAGATACAATAAAGTTATGGCCCGCCAGTCTGTGCTTTCTATTGCTGTGATAAACACCATGGCCAACATCAGCTGAGGAAGGAGAGAGTTTGTTCTAGCTTACACTTGTAGCTAGTAGTTCAGCAGGAGCTCAAGGCTGGAACCTAGAGGTAGAAACTGTAGCAGAGGCCACTGCTAATTGGCTTGTTCCCGTGGCTTCCTCAGTTACCTGTGTTATACAACCCAGGACCACCTGGCCAGGGGATGGCACCAACCACAGTGGACCCCCCACATCAATCATTAGGCAGGAAAATGCACCACTGAATTGCCTATAGGATGATCTGATGGAGGGGTTTTCTCCATTCAGGTTCCCTTTTCCCAGTTGACTCAAGGAGTTGACAAATAAACCAACCAAACAACAACAAAACAGAACAACAAAACAAAAAACAACAACAAATTGACCAGCCCATGATGTTTATGTTCCCATAGATGAATAATTTTCACAAATATTGTCTTTTTAAAGATTTTTATTGTTTTTAAAAATATTTTTAAAAATATTTTTATTGTGTGTGAGTGTGTGCACATGAACATTGGTGCCCATGTAGACCAGAGGTATCAGATTCCCTCTCCTAGAACTTGAGTTGTGAGTCACTCAACATGGTGGAAGAACTGAACTCAGGTCCTCTGCAAGAGTCTCAAGCCTTCCCTGCTGAGTCATCTCTCCAGCCTCTAAATATTATCTTTACAAAAAGATTTAATTTTAAAGTATTTTTATTGTGACAAAATCCTAGTCATACTTTAAAAGGAGGTTTTTGCTTTGTGTTTTTAGTTTTTTATATATTTTTTTATTTATTTTACATTCCAACCACAGTTCCCTCCCTTCCCTCCTTCCCTTTACTCCCACCTCCTGTCAGTGTTTTTAGTTTATTCTTCTTATCCCTGTATTCTTAGTAACCTTGAGAAAGTCAGCTAAAGCAAACCAATACTAAAAGTTCTACATTTGTATTCTATACCCTTTTCTGAGGGGAAAGCATTACAGACCATACATTTAGCTGATATTTGTCATAGAAAAGATAAACAAAATCCACAATCTTGGATAGTAGTTGTCAACATTTCTAATGTCCAGAAAAAGAAGATATTGGAAGAGCAATCCTGTGAGATTCTGAGTAGAATAAAATGAAGAAAGACAGTGTTCACTGAGAAAGTCAGAGTCCACTAAGGAAGTCAGAGTCCGCTGAGGAAGTCAGAGGTCCAAAGGAAGCCACAGTCTACTGAGGAAGCCAGAGTCCTCTTCTCTCCCAGGAGGACTGAAAGGAACAGGCAAGGTAAGAGACTTCCAGGATTTGGGGGAAGAAAGCTAATACCCCTTTAAAAAATAAACAGATGATTTATTTGGAAATTAAAATCTGTCTCTCCCTCTAAAAATGCATCTCTCAAAATATATTTTTCTATCTAGATTTTTAACAAGTTGGTATTAAAAAATCCCACCTCTCTCAAAAAAGGCGACAGTTCTCATGACAGAACCTTTGTTCTGAAATAGAAAATATTATTTCCCTTGTGATAATATGACTCTTAGGAAATGAACTTAACATAATGCATAGGACCCCTTACGATATATGTGACCTCAAGGTCCCCAAAAGCCAAACAAAACATAGAATGTAGAGGCCAAGGTTATGAAGAACATGCAAAAATATATTAAGTTCAAGACACAGATGCACATGAAGAGAGAAAGCTTCTATTTGAGTTTGTGGCATAAAACAATAAAGTTTAAGAACAGATGTCTATTAAAAAATTAACTTGTATCCAAGGGTTATAGTTCATAATTACCTTTATATAAGGTACAGAAAAAGAAGGAATTAAAAATTACTCAATCTAAAGTAAAAGGAAATGAATAAAGGGAAATGAATAAAGTAGTAAATAGTTTATGATATATGTAACAACAATTCCACTAAAATGCAAAGAGGGTCATAGTTAATTAAAAGTTAAAAATCAAGAAATAGACTAATAGTTCTACTGGCAAATGCAACCAAAAGTGCCTCAGGAAGAGACACACCAGAAACCAAAGTAAGAAAAACCCATGGAAGTGCATGTTCTAATTCCCTTTTTGTTGCTGTGATAAAAACACGCTGGCAAGTTGTCCATGAGACTCTCAAAACCGTCACTGTTGTCCTTGGTTGCTCGCCAGAGGTGGGTGGTAAGTAATGGCTGCTAATGTGACTGTTTCTGGCCATGAGAGTCACACTTGTCACCCAACCCTTGGGAGGGTATGGCAGGAGGATCATGTACGTGTGGTCAGTCTCAGCTACACATGCAGCTCAAGGCCAGGCTGGGCTACAGTGAACCCTGTCTCAAACAAACAAACAAACAAACAAACAAACAAACAAACACTCAGTCTCTAGCCATCAGTATAAACCTATGGGTAATAAAAGGTTAATAAATAAAATTTATGAAAAATTACATGTTCAAAAATTGATGATCTGGGAGAAATGGCCTAGTTCCCTAAGAGAAAAATATCCACGAGAATGCACGAGAACAGAAATACACAATATGAATTCTATATCGGGTAATAAAATTACATCAATGTTTACTTTCAAAATAGAAAGCACTAACCCCAGATTTATTCTTTCATTAATTAGACCTAGTGTTTAAGAGAAAAGTTCCATCAATGGATGTATAATTTATATAAAAAAAAAAGGGCGGGTGTATCCTTCCTGATTCATCCTATCAGGCTAGCATTACTAGAGTCCCAGGTCAGATACCATGTAACACAAAAGAAAAGCTTCAGGCCAATATTACTGCAAACATAGTAGCGAAATCTCCCAAAATACTGGTAAAATTAAATTCAACAGTTCACATTCAAATAGCATTTAATGATGGTATTTAGACAGGTTTTAAGCTAAAAACAAATTCATATAATCCATTATATCCATGAACTGAGTAAGAAAAAGTGCATGTGATTGTATGAATAAAAGGAAATGATTTGATAGATACAGTACCATATAAAATAGTTACTCTTAGGAAATCTAGACTAAACAGTAAATTACTTATTAAAAAAATCTATAAAAATGAAGCAAACATAATACACCCTATTATGGGTGGAAAGCCAGCAGCTAAGTATGGTAGAGCATATCCCTTCCGTTTCCTTACAGCACTGTAATGGAAACTATAGGAAAGGCAGAAAGACACTTGATTTTCTCATTCTAATTTACGACACAAAGTCATGAGCTTCAAGAGCAGCGTAGCCATCTGTTCTCCAAAGCAGACTGGAATCGCTCCAGCTGCCTGCAAGGACCACTGAAGCTGAGTGACTTACCCCATTCCCTTTGCACTTCTTAGTGGCATTGCAGTCATTTCCCATTAAATTAACTTCTTTGCAGGTTCTGTTTACACAATACTAAAATTAAACAGAATATTTCACAGTCACAAATGTCATGTAAACTGAAAAAAAAATCCACAATCTGTTACCTGTACATAAAAGATGCCCAAGACCTGCTTATCCATTTTTCTTTGATTTTTAACACAAAGCTTCTGTCTTTCTAACACAGTCCCATCAACAGCAATGTTATCAAAGTAGGAGGAGCCTGTCTGCTCAGAGCTTGATGGGGACCATGTGTGGTCTGAATTTTGATCCCTACAGTTTGAGCTGACTGAAATCTGCCCTGCATTTCCTACAGTAGTGATGTTTGCTATGGATGATTGTATTTGTTGTGAATAATTGTCCCCTTAAGGCTGGAGAATAATGTTTCTTATGTCTCAAATACAATTCATAAATTGTTTTGAATCTTTTTGGTGGCATATATCAGAAATATAGGGTGAGAGAAATAGTTTAACTTTGTTTCCTTGGCTGCTGTCAAACCCTGTCATGTCAAAGTTGAAATCAAATGGTAATTAGTAATCTGGGTATATAATTATTTTGGCCTCATCTACCTTTTTCTATTTTACTTGACTTTGTAGCTTACTTATTTCAATTATTTATATGAGGTATAATTAAGTAATTCACAATATGAATATGTCAAATGTGGAAGAAAATGACCTCTCAGTAATTATTTATTCAAAATTAATATTCAACCAATAAACAAATCATAAATTGTATAAACTAGCCTTCCTTTGATCCTTACTTTCAATATTCAGTGTAATAATAAGTATTCCAGCTGGAGCAATTTAGATACTAAAAATAAATAAAACATATTCAAATCATAAAAGTAGTAGTAAAATTATTTTCTTATAGATGACATGATCACATATGTAGGTGATTCCCGATGTACATAGACAGATTACACAGACATGCCCATGCCAACACATACAGACTGACGGGCCTCAGACAGATGGCTGTGTAATCACACACAGACTTGTAGAGACCACATATATATATTCAAATACATACAGGCTGATACACACAGATGGCTGTGCAAACACTCACAGGCTGATATGCTGTACAGAAATGTCCAAAAAACCAGACTGACTGACAGACTGCAAACTAACAGCCAGGCAAACACACACAGGCTGCCGCACTGACCACGGACTCATCAACTAACATGTATAGTCTTACATGCTACACACTGATGCATTTGCAAACAGACACCAACTTACAGACTGCACATGGATGTCATACAAGCACACAAAGATGTCCATGACGACACAGTGACCTACTATACACAGATGAATGTGCAAACACACAAACTGACAAACTACACACTGATGTTTGCATAAACAAACAAACATACCACACACAGACGAGCATGGACACACACAGGGAGTGACAAACTACACACACATGCCTGTGCAAACACACAGACTTACAGATTACATAGAGATGCGCAGGCAAACACACACACAAGCTTAATGCATCAGGGAATTCAGCAGAGTTTCAGAATAACATATTAACTTGAAAAATATCAGTTACATTTCTACCAATTGGCAATGGGCAATCCAATAAAGACATAAATTTTTGTCTTTATAATAATACAATATTTACACCGCCTGCCCTCGTTTTCTCGGGTGCCCCGCCCGCTGCCCGCAGTCCTCCGTAGCTTCTCTCCTGAGTCCCCTGTCTTCTGCAGAACTGCCAGTCCTTGCAGACAGACTTCCTCAGACCGATGAGGCCAGACTTGGAGTCATTGCTTTGAGCCTTGCGTCTGAGTTGTTCCAGGTACTTTGTACAACCACTGTCACAGAAGCTGTGTGTTTTCCAGGACCTTTGTAAGGGATGGCTGCCATCAGAAAGAAACTGGTGATTGTGGTGATGGAGCTTGTGGTAAGACATGCTTGCTCATAGTCTTCAGCAAGGACCAATTCCCAGAGGTTTATGTGCCCACAGTGTTTGAAAACTATGTGGCAGATATGGAAGTGGATGGAAAGCCGGTAGAGTTGGCTGGACAGGAAAATTATGATTGCCTGAGGCCTCTCTCCTATCCAGACACTGATGTTATACTGATGTGTTTCTCCATTGACAGCCCTGATAGTTTAGAAAACACCCCGGAAAAATGGACTCCAAAAGTCAAACATTTCTGTTTCAATGTGCCATCATCCTGGTTGGGAACAAGAAGGATCTTCGGAATGATGAGCACACAAAACAGGAGTTAGCCAAAATGAAACAGGAGCTGGTAAAACCTGAAGAAGGCAGAGATACGGCAAGCAGGATTGGCGCTTTTGGGTACATGGAGTGTTTAGCAAACACCTAAGATAGAGTGAGAGAGATTTTTGAAATGGCCACGAGAGCTTCTCTGCAAGCCAGACGTGGGAAGAAAAAAATCTGAGTGCCTCATTTTGTGAAGCCTTGTGCAAGCACAGCCCTCATGCGGTTAATTTTGAAGTGCTGTTTATTAATCTTAGTGTATGATTACTGGCCTTTTCATTTATCTATAATTTACCTAAGATTACAAATCAGAAGTCATCTTGCTACCAGTATTTAGAAGCCAACCATGATTATTAATGATGTCCAACCTGTCTGACCAGCCAGGGTCTTTCTGACACTGCTCTAACAGCTCTCTCTGCACTCCACCTGACACTAGGTGCTAACTCAAAGAATTTCTTAACTTCTTGTTTCTTTCTAGAAAGAGAAACATTTGGTAACTTTTGTGAATTAGGCCGTAACTGCTTTATAACTAACATGTCCTGTCTCTCATCTGTAGGCTGCAGGGAACTCTGGTGAGTCACTACTTCAGAGCTTTACTCCTTAACAGATTACATTGGCAGAACTCTGGAGAAGGCATCCAAGGTTTTGAGAACTTGCTCAGCCAGAAAGAACCAAGTCCACACAGGTGTGGGAGAGTTGCAGTTCTGTAGTCTCATGTTAGTTACCTTAGAGTTATTGTGTAATTTGTGTCACTTAATTATGTTAACCAAAATAAATATATCTACCCCAGACTAGATGTAGTATTTTTTGTATAACTGGATTTCCTGCTACTGATATTTGTCATTCCCACAGAAAGTGTATTGTTTTTTGTTTGTTTTTGTTTTTTAAGAAAGTGCATTCAGAAATAAAGTCAGATGGAAAATTAAAAAAATAATACAGTATTTACTTAGAAATACTTAGCCAAGAAGGAAGAAAGAGACAGGTTCAGGCCCTAGACTTGAAAGCTGTGCCCCTGCCAAGCAGAGTCACCTGTGTCCCTGCCCAGGAGCAAGTCATTACCTCCTACAAACCAACAACTATCACTTTTAGGGACTTTTTTTTGTCAAATTCCTCATTCACAAGGTAATCATGCTTGGCACTTGTGGAAGTTCATCTGTTCCTACTTATATGATGAGAAAAGCTGCCATGCTGTCCTGGCAGCCATGGAGTTGGAGCACACTGCCTGGGGTGGGTTAGGTCCCAGTGCTTGGAGCTCCTACCTCACAGTCTTGTGTGGAACTCTGATCAAAGTCTCTGCGGCTACTGTCCTATCGGAAGGTCTGATCTGGAAGATACACTTTCTTTAATGGCTTGCTCATCTATTTAGGGGTGGACTCCTCTTCCTCCCTGGTCATATGAGTAGGGGCTGTGTATATCCTCTCAGGCTCAGAACTGTGGGTTTCTCCATGGCTGTGGCTCATGTCACCAAAATATTCTAAGACGAGAGAAACCATGCACCACTCTTCCCTAATCTGATATTCCAAACCTTCTCTCTATTCTATTTGTGAGAAGCAAGCTCTTAGATGTAGTTCATGAGGAAGTTGACCGCACAAGGCAGCCAACCCCAGGAACTGGGTTCCTCAACATGGGTAAGCTTCTCCAGGGTTCAGGAACCAATGATCTTAGAGTTAAGAGTTGGCTCTGCAATTTCCAAGTAAATGCTGAAGGCCACAGTACCGTAGTTAAAGGGTTTATAATTGCTACTTTTAACCTCAAAGGGCTATTAGTGTGTTTACAAAGCTGGGTCTCCTCATCCTCTAGACTGATAAACTGAACTTTAGTTCTCTCTTTGTATAATGACTTTATGAAAATAATTTGCATAAATGTGTACACTTGCATGTGTAGATATGCTACACATCTACATATGTAGATATGTAGAGCTTGTCTCTGTGTAGTAGCCATTAGCCATGATTTCCCAGTACAGCTTTGGCTCTTCCAAACATGTCACACTTCCAGTCTGATCAGATTCATAACACATGATTTAATGAAAATGAATATGGCTTTCAGTGAACCAAGGTGAAATCAGACCTCAGAATTTTACTATTGGAGATTATTAAGTCTAAAAGTAATAGCCCTTAAGGGCTAGTAGACTCCTGGTAAAAACACATACTTTTTAGCTGGGCAGTGGTGGTGCACGCCTCTAATCCCAGCACTCAGGAGACAGAGGCAGGTGGATCTCTGAGTTCGAGGCCAGCCAGATCTACAGACTGAGTTCCAGGACAGCCAGGGCTACACAGTGAAACTATGGCTTGAAAGCAAACAAGTACAGACAAATAAACAAACAAAGACCAAACCCACATTTTTCTTTTCCACAAAGGCAACGTGACATGCTAACTAAGGCTTACTTGACACCATATAGGAAGCATCAGGTACAAATTGTGATAGCTATCATGGAACATGGTATGTGGTAATTAATGTAAATTAACATAGCTAAATATAATCCCCAGTCTGTTACCATTTGTGGTCCACACACAGTGCCATCAGCCACATAGGCATAATCTCTCCCATCTGATCTCATAGACAACCCAGGAGGAATGGACAGACACACACTGTCATGGACATATGAATATAAAACGGACCGGACTGTGCTTTTGTAATTCTTGTGTGGCTGTAAACAAGCTAATTTTCCACAGAGAACATCCCTGGAAATGGAAAAGAAAAATTCTTTATCACTTTACTTTTCAGTGATCCCAGCTTCCAATTAAGTGTTTCATAGATAGTGGGATAAATGTTAAAGACATAAAACCAGAAAAATAACAAAATAGCAATATTGTTTTATGATGCTATAAGATTTTTAAAAACTAGCCAGGCATTGGTGGTGCACACATTTAACCTAGCACTTGGGAGGCAGAGGCAAGCAGATCTCTGTGAGTTCGAGGCCAGCCTGATCTACAGAGTGAGTGCCAGTATAGGCTCCAAAGCTTCACAGAGAAACCCTGTGTCGAAAAACAAAACAAAACAAAACAAAAAAAGCATAAACAGCAGGACTGGAGAGATGGTTCAGAGGTTAAGAGCACTGACTGCTCTTCCAGAGGTCCTGAGTTCAATTCCCAGCAACCACATGGTGGCTTACAACCATCTACAATTCAACCAGGTGCCCTCTTCTGACCTGTAAGTAGAACAGTATATGTAATAAATAAATAATTTTTTTTAAAAAAAGATAAATGCAAACAAATTAATTAGCACAGTGGCAGAACTGGAATGTATCTACTGAATTCACAGGTGTACACATGACTTTATTTTCTATTACCTGCCTCTGTAGTCACTTAGACTGACTTTTATACAGTTTGGTCAGTCTGGATCTGTCATCCAAAGTTTCCCAATGGTGGTAACCACTTACTCTTTCAGCATTTTTGATTATATACCATTATCTTATGATATATATTATAATACCACATGGAATTTCCCAATACATTCAATTTGTTACTCAAATCCATGTGTACATAAATGACCTCATGTGTACATGTCCATGGAGGCCAGAGGTCAGTGAGGGGTGTCAGTCTTCAAGTGCTATTCAACTTTACTTTTTGTTTCTCACTGTCCTCAGGTTCACCAAGTAAACAATGCTAGTGGGCTAGTGAGTCCCTGGGATCTGTCTTTCTCTATGTCCCCAGCACTGAGATCATAATGCCTACCACCCATCTTGGCTTGCCTCCCATGTGGGTCCAAACTCAGGCAAACACTTTACTGACTAAGCTGGAATTGCCCCCTCCCCTCGGTGAATTTTTTGGAGCCAAGTGAACTTCTGGCAGCACTTGTTCCAAGGCAACCACTCTCATTATTGGACCCAGCTTTATGCTATAATAAACCTCATTACTGTAGTCCAAGTTCAGCCATGGAGACATGCTCTTTAGTTTTGCATACCAGTCATTTGGAAACAACAAACAAGGTGGAAATTTCTTTCCTCAACAATCATATGTTGTAATAAAACAAAATATCTGCTTTAGGATACCTGCAATGATAGATAGACCTGACCCAATTTTAATTTTTCTGGAAGTTGGGAAGCTCCTCTTAATAAATATCACCCCATTCCTCATTCAGTTGAGTTCTGAGGATGGCAACAGGAAAATCGTGAGGAGAGAAAACTCTGAATTGCTATGAGATGACACATGTGTGCACATGTGTGTGGCATGTGCACACACGTGTGTGATCATGCACCCATTTGAGGATATTTTCCTATCATGCAATCGATAGTTGGTTTTGTTTAGCCTACGTGCCTTGACAAGCAACATGACTCAGAAAACCAATCACACTCCATATACGTACTTTTGTCCACAAGGAAATGGGTATGGATTTTTAAAACCACAGTTTGCCAGCTTTTCACGTGGTGAATTAACCTTTTCAAAACAGGCATAGGAAGCGCCTTGAGAACCTAAAATGGGAAACATGTCCTTTAGTTTATTATCCTTAATCCAAATTACATGCTCTTTAGTAATGGGCTAATAAAACTGTCATTTCAAATAGGCATGCATTTTTCATGCTTTGTTTGATTTTCATGGGCAGCCTGCCAATTTCATAACACAAAACAAAAGGGATTGTAGCCATTGCAAGAAGTTACATTGATCCATTTACGGATTTCTTTTTTGTTTTTAAACATGGTGCACTATATATCTCAGACTGGTGCTGGCCTTGAAAATCTCCTGCCTCAACCTCCTAAGGATTGGAATTATATGTATAACCATCTTTGCTCCCTTCAGTTTTAAAAAAATATATGTATTGTGTGTTTGTACATGTGCATGTATGTGTGTATACATGTGCATGGGTATGTGTATGTGTGTGTGCACATGTGTACATGCATGTGTACATGTCTGTATATGTGGAGACCAGAGTGAAAGTTTATGCATTGTTCCCCAGACACAATCCACCTTGCTTTTTATTTTTTGATTATTTTATTTTATGTGTATTCATGCCTACAATATTCAGTCCTCTAAACTGAATCATATAAATAACCAATGCTAATAAATCATCAGAATTGAATGAAGTATTTGGCTTTCATAGCCCTTGTCTAGAGAATCTAGAATTGTAGGGAACATTCTTCAATATAATAGAAGCTATATATGAGATGCTGACAGCCAACATCATCCTAAATGGTGAACAGCTTGAAGCAATCCCACTGAGATAATGAATGTGGCAGGGCTGTCCACTATCCCATTACTTTCCTGCATTGTGTTTGAAGCACTAGTGGAGCAATAAGGCAAGAAAAGAAAATTAAAGGGATACAAATAGAAAAAGAAGAAGTCCAACTATCCCTATTTGCAGATGGCATGATACTATGCACTAGAGAGCCAAAAATTCTACCAGGAAACTTCTAGATATGATCACCAATTTTGGCAATATGGCAGGACACCAAATCCTAAAAATGTTGTTGCCTAATCAGGACCTGAACAATTACAAGGGTACTTAGTGTGGCAATATAGAAGGCAATATAGAATCTCCCTAAATGAAGATCTACAGGCAATTAATGGCTGATAAGAGAGGAAAAACTGTTTTTTCCTGTATCAAACTCCCTGATAATGTTATTCAATCCCAACTGGTCAGATTTAAACACATATACATAGGAGCAACACCAAGTGGACTCAATAGGCTATACTTATGCTACATGTATGCATATGTTTGAAACAATATTTAAAGAATATTCATGAATTTGATAGACAGGGGAACATGTGAGGAATTGGAGGAGCAAGGGAATATGGAAATGATGTAAAATAGTGCCTTTGAATGAGGTTATTAAAATTGTATTAAAAGAGTTTAAACAGAGTTACCTTATAACAGAGCAACATTGCCACTATTAGTTTTTATAAAGTAACAAAATTCCAGTGTTAGGAAGGGGGTACCTCTTGGTCAGTGAGATCTTATAGACTCTCAAACATGACAGGTTATTGCTAATGCTCTTGGTTACTTTCCAGAACTTAGTGGGAAGATACTGTTGCTGAAGATGCTACCAAGCTGGTACTGATCGGAAAGTTTCATCCTTATTGGCTCACTTTACCAGTGCTAGTATGTGATATGCATGTTGCCAGAGAAGAAAAGTAGTCATCATACTTCTCCATCTGTGAACCTGCACACTGTAATGACTATAGCCTGGCAAGGCCTTCCCCCTGGCGTGTTAGTGATACAAATGTCAAGGGAATAGCCAACCACTTTCTGTTTAGATGTAACATCAATTCCATAAGCTGGAACACATGCCTGGTACTATAATTTGGGATGAGAGCCTGTGGCTAGACAGGTCATTTTCCCAAGGGAGAGCCTATTATGCTCATAATATTAAATAGACTCCAAATTACTTGTGAATATACCGGTATCCACTTCGTCTGGGGGGCAGGATTTTTCTGAAGGCTGCCTCCCCCTTAAGGCCACCCATCATGTTGACTATGGCAGATTTTTCTTATTCTCTTACTTGAAGTTCTCTCTTAATGAAATTCCTCTACAGGGTTTAATAGGAAGCCAAGCTTTTCCTTTGAAGTCCGGCCATGTTGTTTCAGATGGGAAGCTCTATCCATCTAACTGGTTTCCCACCTCAAGGCCCAGTCATAGCCCACATGTCCATGAGGGTCTTGTTCATCCTGAAGGGTACTTTCCTGTTAGCTCCTTTCCCAAACTCACTGCTCTGATTTCTACATTGAGTTATAAATTCTTCATGCATTCAAATTATTTTAATCACTCAACATATAGATAATCGTATTGGGGCACACTAAAAACAACAGCAGGCATGCAGGGGTCTTATCTGGATTTCTCTAAAATCGTATGAACAAGGCTAAGACAGGAGGATGATGAGTTCAAAGTAATCCTGGACTATGTAATGAGACTGTAATGAGACAAAACCTGTCAAAAGTCATAAGCTGGAGTTCTGGCCAGGTAGCCTGTTGCTGCTGTTACATTGCCAGTTCATCGGTCAGAAAAGAGGTTGCACATGGATGACATTCACTCTAGCTTTGAAAGGTTCGAATTTAATTTAATTCTAGATTATGAATGCAGTGGATAATAGGAAATTAAGGTGTCACTATCTGCTCTTTTGCTATTCATATTTTAATATAATTTAGGAGGTCTTAGGCAACACATTTCTCTCAAATCAAACCTACATAGCAATTTTCTTGGAAAATTTCAATCATGCCTATAAATTTTTCTTTAATTTCAGTTTAGCCCTTCTTAGAATTGGGACCCAGGCTCTTCCCCATCTAGACTCTATGGTACATAATATATACACTTCAGAGCAATCCAAGTGCAACACAAATATGAAAGAAATCAGTACCTTTTCCAAACAAATTGACACACTGGTCATTAAGAGCTTGGCACCTTCCATCATAGCAATACGCAGATCCCAACCTGCACAAATGGCCATTCAATGCAAAGCTGTCAGGAACACAATGGCTAGAGGATCCATCGCAATATTCCGTGAAATCACACTCCGGGTCAACAGCCTTCCTACAGGGAGTGCCTGCTGATGATAGCTAGGGACAGGAAAAAGTTCAGGGGTTGTGAATGACTCTATGCATATTTGCCAAGGAAATTGGCTAAACATGTCTGGTTATGGCTAATTGAGGGACTGAGACTTCCCCAGACTAAGAATTCTAGAAAGGAAAATCCAGGTAAAATATCTACTGGGAATCCCAGAGAAGGGTAACTGGCTTCAGGATATGCACAGCTCCCATTGACAGCAGGCTTGCAGCTGGCCACAGCCTCATGTTTCATACCGTGAATTCTGACATTAGCAGCATGAGGACTGAGAAGCCTAGAACAATTGGTTCTACCTCTGATGTTGGCAAGAACTGGAAGCCAGTTTCAGCTTTCACTCTTACTACCTTATTTGTGTAGGAGAGATATACTAAATCTCTTTTATACTCGCAAATTAGGAAGGAAAATCACTTTTCATTTAATAGAACTTTGCATGAATTAACACATCTCACCACCAATGTTTATTATTCTGAGAACAAAAGGGTCTTTCTGCATAGCCAGATACGTTTTTATGGCTGGTTGAATAAATTTTTCAGCTGTTGCCATCCATAACAAAATTTATAATGTCCTACTTTGAAAACCTGTATACCACAAAATTCAAAAATTTAAAGGAATGGACAATTTTCTGGATAGAAATCACTTACCAAAATTAAATCAATAACAGATAAGCAATTTAAATAGACCTATAACCCCTAATGAAATAGAAGTGGTCATCAAAAGTCCCATACAAAAAAAAAAAAAAAAAAAAAAAAAAAAAAAAAACCCAAGCCAAAAAAGGAAACTAGCTAATATCAGTAATCCCCAAACTGTCCACACAATATAAGCAGAAGGGTCACTGCCAAACTCTTTTTATGAGGCTAGAATTACCTTAGTACCCAAGTCACACAAAGACACAACTAAGAAAGAGAACTGTAGACCAATATCCCTCATGAACATTGATGCAAAAATACTCAACAAAATACTGGCAAATCGAATCCAAGAACACTCAGAATCAGAAAACTCATCCAGCATGGTCAAGTAGGCTTCATACCAGGGATTTTCAACATATGAAAATCCATCAGTGTAATCCACCATATAAACAAACTGCAAAAGAAAAACCACATGATCATCTCACTAGATGCTGAAAAAGCCTCTGACAAAATCCAACACCTATTCATGATAAAGGTCTTGGAGAGATCAGGAATAACAGGAACATACCTAAACATAATAAAAGCAATATGCAGCAAACCAACAGCCAACATCAAACCAAATGGAGAGAAACTCAAAGCAATTCTAAAATCAGGAGCAAAACAAGGCCATCCACTCTCTCCATAGCTCTTCAATATTGTACTGCAAGTTCTAACTAGAGCAATAAGACAACAAAAGGAGATCAAGGGGATACAACTCAGAAAAGAAGGCAAATTTTCACTATTTTCAGATGATATGATAGTTTACATAAGTGACCTGAAAAACTCTACCATGGAACTCCTAAAACTGATAAACACCTTCACAAAGTGGGAGGATACAAGATTAACTAAAAAAAAAAATAGTATCCCTACTATATACAGACAATAAAGGGGCTGAGAAGGAAATCGGAGAAACATCACCGTTTATAATAGCCACAAACAATATAAAATACCTTGAGATAACACTAACCAAACAAGTGAAAGATCTGTATAGCAAGAACTTTGAGAAGATACAACTTTGGCAAGAAGATACCAGAAAACAGAAAGATCTCCCATGCTCTCAAATAGGTAGGATCAACATAGTAAAAATGGCAATCTTGCCAAAAGCAATCTACAGATTCAATATAATCCCCATCAAAATCCCAACACAATTCTTCAAGACTTTGAAAGAACAAAACTCAACTTTATATGAAAAAACAAAAGACCCAGGATAGCCAAAACAACTATGTACTATAAAGGAACTTGCAGAGGTATCACCGTCCCTGACTTCAAGTTCTATTATAAAGCTATAGTCCTGAAACAGCTTGGTATTGGCACAAAAATAGACAGGTAGACCAATGGAACAGAATCAAAAACCCTGATATTAACCCACATACCTAGGAATACCCGACTTTTGACAAAGAAGCTAAAGTTATACAATGGAAAAAAGAAAGCATCTTTAACAAATGGTGCTGGCATAACTGGATGCCGACATGTAGAAGATTGCAGATAGATCCATATCTATCATCATGTACTAAATTTAAGTTCAAATGTATCAAAAACCTCAACATAAATCCAACCACACTGAACCTCTTAGAAGAGAAAGTGTGGAGGGGGCACCCTTGAACGAATTGGTACAGGAGACTGCTGTAACACCATAACACCAGTAGCACAGACATTGAGATTGACAATTAATAAGTGGGGCCTCCTGAAACTGAGAAGCTTCTGTAAGGCAAAGAACACAGTCAACAAGACAAAACAGCAGCCCACTATTATCATCTGTAATTGAATAAGATTTAATAATGGAAAGATAATTAATAAAAATGTAGTATCTTTAAAGAAATGAAAGAGAAAAATTTTGAGTTAGAATTTCAGACCCCAGAAATATATGTCAAAATGAATGTAACAGCAGGTTAGTGGACAGAAATGTCTGCTGCCAAAAAAGGATGACAGGGCCCCATACCTGGACTCATGGTGGGTGGAGAGAACTGGCTCTTACAAGGAGTTCTCTACCTTCCACACGTGCTGTTGTGCACACATGACAATTCATATACATAAAATGATAAAACCTAATGAGAAACAAAGCTTTCCCTAGGCAAGCAGTAGCTAAGAGAATCCATTCTCACTATACCTATATTACACGAAATATTAAAGGAAAGCTTTCAGGTATGAGAAGTGTGATTAGGGCTGGAGCGTGGCTCAGGGATAGAGTATTTGCCTAGCATGCACACAGGACAAGGGTGTGGCTCAGGGATAGAGTACAATTGTGGGAAAGGAACATTTGCAAGTTTTACATATTGGTGATTTGTAAGAATGGGAATCCTAAAGTATTTTCCATTATGGAGTTTGCTTTCTCACCCAACCACATGGTATAGGGATAGTGTTGTATTGCTGATGAAGTTTATACCACAGTTTATCATGCTTTTGGGTAGTAATAAAAATGCATGCAACCAAGACTGGGGAGATGACTAGGTGATGTCAAGCCTGAAGCCTGAGTTCAGTCCCCAGAACCTGCATGGTACAGGGAGAGAACCTATGACCTCTGCCCTTCACACATACATCGTAGCATGTGTGAGTGCACAGTTCGTCTACACACACACACACACACACACACACACACACACACACACACACGCACACCTGCAATAAAAATTAATTAAAATGTAATAATTCCATTGACAGAAACAATTTTGTCATTGTGCCTTTTACTTTGCAGTCTATGAGCCCTTTGAACAGTGTATGTTTTGTCTGTCATTCTTATTATAATTTTCATCAGTCATCATTTACTTGACCTTATGAGTTATCTGACTGTTGGCACTTTCCATGATGTGGTGCATATCTTTTATCCTGTTTGAGAATTTAGAAGTTGATCAACTTTGTGGTTTCTATACCCTCGACAAGAAAGCACCAGTCCGGGATATCTTTTTTCAAGTTCATGGTACTTTATCATGGAATCACTAGTGCCTACATTCTTTGTGTCATTCCACACTGCTTTAGTTAATCCAGTCTTGCATTGCTGCAGTTCAGCTTCCCTTTGCTAAGTGCCAGCCTCTTACCTCACAGTTTGATGTACAGCAAGGTCCAGAGCCACATTTTGCAGAGGCTTTCAGTCTACATGTTTCATAGTTGCAGCACTCTTTAAATTGGCATTTCTGCAATTTCCAAAGAAAGAGGATTCCAGTTAGGATAGACACCCAGCTCTCCTTCCTCCCCCTTTCTCCTTCCTTCCTGAAACAGGTTATCATGTAGCCAAGACTGCTCTGCTGTACAGTGGAGGGTGCCAGTGGCTCCCTGTCCCAAGCCCTGGGGATTTTAGGAAGGCACCACCATTCACAACTTAATAACTCTTGCTCTTTTATCAATTTTAATTTGCATCCTGTGCTCCTAATTGCATTCCATGAAGCTTCAGTATCCTCAGCTTATATTATTTCTAGAATAACCAAAAGTATATGTAACTGTAATAACTAAGGAAATAGCATTTAAATTAGTTGTTGATCTCTAATGTGAAAATTTGGGTAATTGGCTCAGAATTTACTAATATGAAATGCATTTCAGGGGAGTTGGGGAGAAGTGTGACTTTCTAGGAGAAACACAAACTTCCTTCAATTCTCTCATTAAGTATTCACTTGCTACACATTTCTATTGAGAATGAAGGTAAACTTTAGGAAGTGCAGCCAAGACATGTTAAGTATGTATTCATGGTCCCTTTCCCTGCTAATAGTGTTAGTACTGGCCTGTCTGTTTATGACAATAAAACATCTCTACTTGTTCAGAGAGTAACAGAATATGGAGTCTGTTTATGAAAATAGTGTTTGGAGGCTTCTGATGCCATAGTCGTTTGCAATGCCTCCATACAGAATACTTCTGTGATACTGTTGTTATTCATTTCACAAAGTTCAAATGATCCCCGAATCTCTTGATTTCTCCATCTAAGACATATTGGTCTCTTAAGCCAGGCATTGGTGGTACATGCCTTTAATCACAGAACTCAGGAGGCAGAGACAGGTGGATCTCTGAGAGTTCAAGACCAGCCTGGTCTATAAGAGCTAGTTCCAGGACAGCCTCCAAAGCCACAGGGAAACCCTGTCTGGGGGTGGGGGGGGAGACATTATCTGTCCCTCTTAATTTCTGCCTTGGTAATTCCAGGTCTTTCTGTTTGGCCTTTACTATCTGAAGGGCTCTTACTGCACACAAGATAGGGGACTAGTTTGGGGGAGGGGAGCGTCTGCCAATTTCAGAGCAGGGCCATCTCAGGAGATCACAAAATCCTAAAGATATCAGTTGTATATTTTGTCTATAGACTAGGGTCAATCATTGGGAGTGTCAGTAGACACCATTGGCATGATGGGCAATAAGGCACAGAAGGAGCTGGCAATCTTGACCTGCAGGCCAGTTCAAGGTCATCCTGGCCTAAACAAGGCCCTCTCTTACAAAAGAAAATCACAAAAGAGATGTGGAAAAGCAATTCATTTCTCTTCATTCTCATACATCAATTATATGGTAAAGATGCCATAATGTGCACCCAATATATACTATGACAAATGCTTTGTGTTCTTTGGATTAGAACAACTATGGTCAACCTAAATGTTTACTACTCACCGTGTCATTACCACAGTCACATTCTTCATTAACTTCCACAATTCCGTTACCACACATGGGTTGATTTTGTTGTAATAATTGCACATTTGAAAGGTTACCAAGACATGTCACAACAAAATTTGAAACATAGTGCTTGTAATAATGCATGCTACAGTTACTAAAGGTCTTCATCCCACTGGAACTCCTAAAGTGAAATAATAGTCTCTGATAAATAAACCTAGTTACTAAAACACATCTAGATGATGCTCCATTGGTAATCAAATGATCCAAGATGGAGCAAATAAAAACATATACTTCAGCAGAGGTTAAATGTTGTGGAATAAGATGTGTCACCATGATTGGTTTAATAAAAAGCTGAGCAGACAATAGCTAGGCAGGATTTCCAGGCACAGAGGATGCTGGGAAGAAAAAGGGTGGAGAAGCCAGCTAGACATAGAATGAGTCAGACAAACATGGAAAATTCTTTATATGCTATTTTATCAAGCATGATATAACTTTCCAACCCTAATATGGAAATTTTATATGGATAATATGGAAATATCAATAAAAAATATTTCGAGGGGGCACCTGACACCAGGGGTCCGCTCACGGGATCTGAAGTTGGTGGGAGCCAACACACCCAGAGACTGCCAAGCCCCCGGGAACAGTCCGCCTCAATCCACAAGAAGAGGACAGACATCAGAGTATTGGAACTGTTTGCATCTACCAGAAGGGAACCTTGGTCCCATACCCACCAGGAGAGGAAGAGACTCCTGCTACCCCCACTGGAAGAAAGGATGGGAAGAAGGCAATATAAAAGCACATTCAACAACAGAAAAACCAATATGACACCACCAGAGACTAGGGACCATACACAAGCAAGACCAGAACATCACAATGCAGCTGAAGCAGAAGAAAATGACGTTACAAACATCTTCATGAAAATGATAGAGGACCTCAAAGAGGATATGAGAAAATCCCTTAAAGAAATGGAAGAAAAAACAAACCAAAAATACAAGATATCAACAAATCTTTCAAGGAAACAGTTCAAGACCTGAAAATGAAATAGAGACAACAAAGAAAGCATAATCTGAGAAAATACTGGAAATAGAAAAGCTGGGTAAATGATCAGGAACTACAGATGTAAGCATAACCAACAGAATACAAGAGATGGAAGAAAGAATCTCAGGTGTTGAAGATGCACTAGGAGAAATAGATTCGTCAACCAAAGAAAATCTTAAGTTCAACAAATCCCTAACACAAAATATCCAGGAAATATGGGATACCCTGAAAAGACCAGACCTAAGAATAATAAATATAGAAGAAGGTGAAGAAATCCAACTCAAGGGCACAGAAAACATATTCAACAAAATCATAGAAGAAAACTTTCCCAACCTACAGAAAGACATGCCAATGAAAGTACAAAAATCCTACAGAATACCAAATAGACTGTACCAAAAAAAAGGTCACCTCGTCACAGCCGCATAATAATCAAAACCCCAAACTTACAGAATAAAGAGAAAATATTAAGAGCAGCAAAGGAAAAGGGTCAAGTAACATATAAAGGCAAACCTATCAGAATTACACCTGACTTCCATGGAAACTCTGAGAGCCAGAAGGTCCTGGATAGATATTCTCCTACACTAAGAGACCACAGATGCTAGCCCAGACTGCTATACCCAGCAAAGCTTCAATGAATATAAATGGAGAAAACAAGATATTCCATGACAAAACCAGATTCAAATAATACATATCCACCAATCCAGCACTACAGAGTGTTCTGGAAGGAAAACTGCAACCCCAGGAAGTTAACTACAACCAGAAAAAATATAGACAATAGATAATCACACTTTACCAACAGCCAAAAGAAAAAAAAGGATGGAAACCCACACATAATTTCACCACCACCACCAAATCCAAAACAAACAAGAATGAACAATCAATGGTCATTAATATCCCTCAATATTAATGGTCTTATCCCCTCCTATAAAAAGACACAGGTTAGCAGAATGGATAAGAAGACAGAATTCATTCTTCTGCTGCATACAAGAAACACACCTCAACTTCAAAGACAGACAGTACCTAAAAATTAAAGGTTGGGAAAAGATTTTCCAATCAAATGGACCTACGAAACAAGCAGGGGTAGCAATCTTAATATCCAACAAATTGGACTTTAAACTAAAATCAATCAAAAGAGATGAAGGAGGTCACTTCCTACTCATCCCAGGAGAAATCCATCAGGATGAAGTCTCAATTCTGAACAATTATGCCCCAAATACAAAGGCATCCATGTTTGTAAAAGAAACATTACTAAAACTCGAATCACACATAAAACTGCACACACCTATAGTGGGAGACTTCAACACCCCACTCTCACCACTGGACAGGAACACCAGACAGAAACTTAACAAAGAAAAAAAAGGACCTAATAGAAGTTATGACCCAATTGGGCTTAACAGACATCTATAGAATATTCCATCCAAATACAAAAGAATATACCTTCTTCTCAGTGCCACATGGAACTCTAAAATCAACCATATACTTGGCAACATAGCACATCTCAACAGATACAAAAAAAAATTAAAATAACACCCTGTATCTTATCAGACCACCATGCTTTAAAGTTAGAACTCAACAACAACACGAATTGCAGAAATTAAGTAACACCCAACTGCACAATTCCTGGGTTGAGGAAGAAATAAAAAAAAAGAAATTAAAGATTTCCTAGAATTCAATGAGAATGTGGACACAACATACCCAAACTTATGGGACACTTTGAAAGCAGTGCTAAGAGGAAAGTTCATAGCGCTAAGTGCCCACATGAAGAAACAGGAGAATAATCACACTAGAGAATTAACAGCACAACTGAAAGCTCAGGAACACAAAGAAGTCAATATACCCCAGAGGAGCAGACACCAGGAAATAATCAAATTGAGGGCTGAAATTAATAAAGTGGAAACTAGGAGAACAATACGAAGAATCACTATAACAAAGAGTTGGTTCTTCGAGAAAATCAACAAGATAGACAAACCTTTATCCAAACTTACCAAACAACAGATAGTGAACATGCAAATAAATAAAATCTGGAAAGAAAAGGGAGACATAACAACAAACAGAGAGGAAATCCAGAGAATCATCAGGTCATACGTCAAAAACCTGTATTCCTCAAAATTCGAAAATCTATAGGAAATGGACAATTTTCTGGACAGATTTCACTTACCAAAATTAAATCAAGAACAGATAAGCAACTTAAATAGACCTATAACCCCTAATGAAATTGAAGCAGTCATCAGAAGTCTCCCACCCAAAAAAAGCCCAGGGCCAGATGGCTTCAAAAATTCAAGGGAACAGCTAAAACCAATTCTCCTCAAAGTATTCCACACAATAGAAGCAGAAGGTTCATTGCCAAACTCTTTTTAGAGGCTTCAGTAACCTTGATACCCAAGCCACACAAAGCCACAACTAAGAAAGAGAACTATAGACCAATATCCCTCATGAACATTGATGAAAAATACTCAAGAAAATACTGGCAAATAAAATCCAAGAACACATCAGAGAAATGATCCACCATGATCAAGTAGGCTTCATCCCAGGGATGCAAAGATGGTTCAACAAATGAAAATCCATCAATGTAATCCACCATATAAACAAACTGAGGGAAATAAAACCATATGATCATCTCACTAGTTGCCAAAAAAGCCTTTGACAAAATCCAACATCCCTTCATGATAAAGGTCTTGGAGAAATCAGGGATAACAGGAACATACCTCAACGTAATAAAAGCAATATACAGCAAGCCGACAGCCAACATCAAAATTAAATCCAGAGAAACTCAACGCAATTCCTCTAAAATCAGGGGCAAGACAAGGCTGTCCACTCTGTCCATACATCTTCAATATTGTCCTTGAAGTTCTAGTTAGAGCAATAAGACAACAAAAGGAGATCAAGGGGATACAAATCAGAAAAGAAGAAGTCAAACTTTTACTATTTGCAGATGATATAATAGTCTACATGAGTGACCCGAAAAACTCTACCAGGGAATTCCTACAGCTGATAAACACCTTCACCAAAGTGGGAGGATACAAGATTAACTCAAAAAATCTGTAGCCCTACTATAGAGAGATGATACAGTGGTGGAGAAAGAAATCAGAGAAACATCACCCTTTACAATTGCCACAAACAACATAAAATAGTGGGGTAACACTAAGCAAAAAAGTAAAAGACCTGTCCTGTAAGAATTTTGAGTCTCTAAAGAAAGAGTTTAAAGAAGATTCTAGATAATGGAAGGATCTCCCATGTTCTTGGATGGGTAGGATCAACATAGTAAAAATGGCAATCTTGACAAAAGCAATCTACAGATTCAATATAATCCCCATCAAAATCCCAATACAATTCTTCAAGACTTTGTAAGAACAATTCTCAACTTTATATGGAAAAACAAAAGACCCAGGATAGCCAAAACAATCCTGTATAATAAAGGAACCTCTGGAGGCATCATCATCCCTGACTTCAAGCTCTATTACAGAGCTATAGTCTTGAAAACAGCTTGGTATTGGCACAAAAATAGACAGGTAGACCAATGGAATAGAATTGAAAACCCTGAGATTAACCCACACACCTATGAACACCTGATTTTTGACAAAGCAGCTAAAGCTATACAATGGAATAAAAAAAGTATCTTCAACAAATGGTGCTGGCATAACTGGATGCTAGCATGTAGAAGGTTGCAGATAGATCCATATCTATCACTATGCACAAAATTTAAGTCCAAATTGATCAAAGACCTCAACATAAATCCAGGCACACTGAAACTATTAGAAGACAAAGTGGAAAATACCCTTGAATTAATGGGTACAGGAGACTTCTTACTGAACATTACACCAGTAGCACAGACACTGAGGTCAACAATTGATAAAATGGACCTCCTGAAACTAAGAAGCTTCTGTAAGGCAAAGGACACAGTCAACAAGACAAAACAGTAGCCCACAGCCTGGGAAAAGATATTCACCAACACCACATCTGACAGAGGGTTGATCTCCAAAATATACAAAGAACTCAAGAAGCTATTCTCCAAAACACCAAACAATCCAATTAAAAAGTGGGGTATAGAACTAAATAGACAATTCTCAATAGAGGAATCTAAAATGGCTGAAAGACACTTAGGAAAGTATTCAACATCCTTAGCCATCAGGGAAATGCAAATCAAAACAACTCTAAGATACCCTCTTACACCTGTCAGAATGGCTAAAATCAATAACACCAATGACATTTATGCTGGAGAGGATATGGAGAAAGGGGAACACTTCTCCACTGCTGGTGGGAGTGCCAACTTGTACAGCCACTTTGGAAATCATTACGGTTACTCCTCAGGAAAATGGGAATCAGTCCACCACAAGATCCAGCAATTACTCTTAGGCATATACTCAAAAGAAGCACATTCATACAACAAGCACATCTGTTCAACGATGTTCATGGCATCAGTAATAGCCAGAAACTGGAAGCAGCCTAGATGCCCCTCAACTGAAAAATGGATAATGAAAATGTGGTACATTTACACAATGGAGTACTACGAAGGAGGAAAAAAAACAATGGAATCTTGAAATTTGCAGGCAAATGGATGAAACTAGAAGAAACCATTCTGAGTGAGGTATCCTAGTCACAAAAAGACAAACATGGTATGTACTCACTCATATATGGATTTCAGACACAGAGTAAAGGATTATCAGCCTACAATCCACACTGCCAGAGAAGCTAGTATACAAGGAGGACCCTAAGAGAGACATACATGGTCCCCTTGAAAAGGGGAACGGGTCAAGATCTCCTGAGCTAATTGGGAACACAGGAGGAGGGGGAGGGAGATAGGAGAATGAGAAGGGGAGAAGAGAAGGGGTGAGGAGGACATGAGGGAGCAGAAAGGTTGAGTCGGGGGAAGAATAGATGAAAACAAGAAAGGAGATACCATAATAGATACCATTTTAGGTTTACAGAGAAATCACGCAATAGGGAAATGTCTGGTTATCTACAAAGATGACACCAGCTAACAATCTAAGGAACAGAGGAGAGGCTACCTTAAATGCCCTCCCCTAATAATGAGTTGATAACTGTCTTATATGCCATCCTATAACCTTCATCCAGCAGCTGGTGGAAGTAGAAACAGACACCCACAACTAATCACTGAAATGAACTGGAATCCAGTTGCAGAGAAGGACTGATGAGCAAAGGGGTACAGACAAAAGGCTGGTGAACCTCACAGAAACAGATGACTGGAACAATGGAAAGCTCTTGGTCCCCAGACTTATAGCTGGGATACCAGCATCGGACCGATCCAGACCCCAGGAACGTGGGTTTTAGTGAGGAGACCTCAGATATCTCCAGGACCTCCTGTAGTAGTTCAGTACTTATCTCTAGCATAGGTGTGGACTTAGGGAGCCCATTCTATAGAGGGATACTCCCTGAGCCAAGACACAAGGGGGTGGGCCTAGGCCCTGTCCTAAAGGATATGAAAGACTCTGATGACCCCCTATGGAAGGACTCTCCCTCCCTGGGGAGCAGAAAGGATATGTGATAGGTAGGGTTTTAGTAAGGGGGTTGGTAGGGGAGGAGGGGAGGGAGAGGCAACTGGGATTGACATGTAAAACAATCTTGTTTCTAATTTAAGTTTAAAAAGTAAAAAAAAAAATTCAATGGTCATCAAATCATGAAATCATAATTGGAAGAAAATACATAAAATTAGTCATTATTAGGGGCTGGAAAGATGGCTCAGCAATTATAAGCAGAGGACCTGGGTAGCATCCACATTCAGTTTTTAGTAAGAACCAAGCATGCACATGGCATAAAGACACACACACACACACACACACACACACACACACACACACACACACACAGGCAACACACAAATAAATAGATAAATAAATAAATAAATAAATAAATCTAAAAATAAAATTCATCATAAAAATTCTTACAATGCTCCCTGTTGCATTATGCATGGAGCTCTGGAACAGGAACAATTATTGACATCGTCATATGATAATCCTATGTGGAAGCCAATCAATTGAGTGATAACCACTGAAATTCCCTCCAACCCTATGTCTTCTGGATACTAAAATAGAGAAGATTGAAGAGAAAAAGTATTATATAATAATAAAACAAAGTCAAGTGATAAATGTTCTTGTAATCACAAAATTTTATATTCTAATTCTTTTTATATTGAGCATACTTTATAACAATTTACTTTGTTATGGTAATTGGCTACCTTAATTTAAATGAAATTTTATTTGTGCATTCTTTAAATGAAAGGGATTTTTTAAAAATATGTTCCACAAAACTACACATGCACTAACCTCTGTATGGAAACCAGGACATGTGTTACATTGGGGAAGGAGTTTTGCATTTGTTTCCACAGGAGAAGAAAAACTTTGGATACCATCAAAGTTGATCAAGATTGGAGTTGAGAAGGAGAAACCTCTCGAGGAGGACAAATGACAGGTATTCTACTAAGGTATATCTCATAAACTAAATAGAAACCTCCCAAAGGAAAGGGAAGTGGTTTGCTTTTATCTTCACAGGAAAACTCATCTTCAGAAGTCAAAGGGTAGATACTTAAGAAGAGAGGGTAGCTATAAACTTCAAACAAAAGGAATATGCCATATGGTTAACTTTACAGCTGTCTCTCAGAGAACTCTATTTCTCTTTATTTCCTAGTCCCTATTAAATTAAATCAATGCTGGCTTTAGAGGTGGATTTGACTTTTCTCCTCTAAAATCCAAGCATGTTGTTTAACTAAACTTTAGAGTTTCTATATTATATCAAGAAGCCAATTGATGTAATACAGAATAAGAGAAAAGTTGGGGACTGTCTTTGTCTATTCTTGGCTCTTTCTCTCAAGGTTATTATATAACCCTCTCATAATTGTTATTCTCCCATGGTTGCCTTTCCCAGTATGCATACATACACAAGCAAACATTTCTCTGCTAACATTTATGTTTGAATCCCACGCAGCCAATGAAGACCTGCCTGACAGCAATACCTGGATGCCCCCGAAAGAAAATGGACCACACCTCCTTGACTGCACTGGATCCAACTTGCTCCATTTCAACTGACACTCCAGCCAGAGCTTCCAGTACTGACTTTAGGATTTTAAGCAAGATCTTCAGATCAAGAAAATCCCATCTAACATGGACTAGACACAATCCAATTGAGACTTTCACTGAACTAACATTTTCTTCCTACAGGACCCCATGAGGTTATTACCATCCCATTTCAGCAGGAAGTAACTTGGAGGATGCTACGCACCCTTTCCCCCATTGTTGTCACTAAGGATAATATACACCTAGTTTGGGATAGCTTCCTATTGTTTATGGTTGGGATTGGAAGGAGGTGTTCAGGCTTGGACACCTCTTTCAGATGACTTTAGGGTTTAGTTAAAATAGACATAGTTATGATGTGACATAAGCTGATTGTTGTATCTTCTTATATTTCACCTTTTTATGATTGTTAATTTTGGATAGTTTACACTGTTAATCTTCTTTTAGATTAAAAGGGGAATTGTAGGGGACACTGTAACCATGCCTGCTAGGGTCTGGCTACAGGTATGCCTGGGCATGCCTTTGAGGGCATGGTCAGGGTGATGTAGAGAAGGTTTAAGAGTGAGGGGTGAGCATGTGGAACTCCCTTCTTCCTTTTCATCAATGGCTTGCTGTACTTACTCCTGCCCTGCCAGCTGGCTAGGTAGCTCTGTAAGTAAGGCATCTCCCTAATAAATACCCTTATATTTTTACTGACTCCATATTGGTAATTCCCTCATTATATTGTAGACATGTGTGTACTTTAAAAGAAAAACATTCTATCAATATGAAACAAAAAAGCTAATAGGTATGCTTCTCTGATGTCTGTGCTAAGTCTGAAATCTCTGGTGTTGACATTTGATGTTCCCAGATTTTGAGGTAAAATATGGAATCTGGAGTCTTAATGTCCAGTAATGAAGGAGTCATGGTCTTCTTCTTTTACAATTATCTAACTGATATAAACTGTTGGTTAAAGTCATGAAGATGAAGAGACTCCTCAAAATAAAACAACTTCTAAGATAAATTGTTCAAAATAATTTCAGTCACAAAGCCATCACTATGAGTTCTGCCCTGAGATACACACAAGCCAGGAAGTAAGGAAGAAAAGGACACACAGTTCCCATGGAGACAGCCTGGAGCAGGATCTGAGAAGGCTCTGAATCTGAGAGCCTGTGGGTGAAGAACTGAGATAACAAGAAGGGCTTAGAAACCCTGCAGAATGAAATCTAATACTACAACTAGAAGAAAAACTGAAGCAAAATTATTTTAAATGTGTACATATAATTAGTAAAGATTATGTACTCTTAGGAATTATACTGTAAATATCTGGTATGCAGGATATCCGATATGTGACCCCTGCACAAGGGTCATTAGACAGAGAAGGGGTCATGACCCACAGGTTGAGAACTGCTGCTATACAAGATGCAAGCTACAATCATGTGCAGGAAAAAAGTATGGCTTTAAGTTCCCAAGGGAAATACCAAAGACTAGCAAATTCCAAGGGGTGTGTGTGTGTGTGTGTGTGTGTGTGTGTGTGTGTGTGTGCACGAGTGCACGCACATATATATGTATGTATATACATATATTTTGTTACGTATTTTTCAAATACTACAATTAACTGAAAATTTAAAAGAATCAAATTCCTTCTCCATCACCCAGCTCCTATGACAACTGTCTTCTTTTCCTCAGTCAGTTGTAGAGACGTGGGTCAGTGGAATGTAAAACAGAAATGCGCATGTTTCAAAGAAGACAAAGCAAGTATTGTTGAATTCCAGCTGTGCATCATGTCCTGTGTACAGTGGTAAGAAAGGAAAACTCTGCCCAGAATGTCTCTAGAGTAGAGAAAGAGGGCTTTCTCAAACATGGAGGAAGGCAGACATATTTTATTAAAGAGTTTGGACAAACCAATGTGATACAATTATTAAATTTGGGAAGAGCCACTTGTTGTGCAATTAATATTAGTTCATCATTTGGTTCATAAGAGAATAAAATGAAATCTATGCAGACAACACAAAGTGTTATGAGATGACAAACACAAGTTGATGACTTTTGCTACTCTCTGAGCTTGGACACATGGAGGTGTCTCTACTTTTGAACTAATGTTTGAGTTACTTAAAAATCCTAGGCAACTTTAGTAAATGTCACAACTAGTTAGTGACAGAATATACTAATCTGTACTACACTAATTATGCTTAAAATTTGTAATGCACTGGGACATTTTTAGATTCAAACAATTTTGTCCCAGCAGAATAATAATGACTATACATATATAGGAAAAACCCAACTGTTAGAAACTGTTTAACCACTACATAAACACTTACATGGTATACAGGTGTTGAAAAGCAGTAAGTAAAAAATGAAAACTACATACCATGACAATACCCGCAGCATAGCTTTTATTGCACAGTTCACCTGGCGATGCTGCTCCAATGTATTTCGGGTGTTTCCTGTAACTACACCATGATGGTTTGACTTGGCATTGTGTAATTGTGTACCATAATATATAAGCATACATTTACCTCCTCATGAAGTTAAAAAAATACTTGAGGAATATATAAATGTCCAATCTGGATATCTAATAAAGTATGCAAAATGTCCAAATTACTGTAATTATTCATTTGATATCAATTCTTCACTTAGCTCCCAGATTTGATGTTCTATTATCTGAAATGCTACTAACTTTCCCTTATTATGCAGCAACTTTTTAGGCCACTAAAAGTTGAAAAGTATGGAAAAGAACTTCTAACTTGTTGAAGAAGAAATTTTACTTATCTTAAACACAAGCACTTATTTAATATTAAATGATCACAAAACAAACTACACAAATCTATCCTCATGAAAAAGTAGACATGAGATATATTAAAAATCTGTTTGGGTGAAATTAAATAAACAATTTTTATATTTTTCATTAGACATATTTTGCAATAAATTTGATATCATATAAATTAATGAAATTCAGTGTTTGCTCACACTAATTCTACTTCAAATAGGAAAATAAGCTAGCATAAAATTGGCCATCATTGTTTTAATTTTTAAACCATCACCTTCTCTCTCTCTCTCTCTCTCTCTCTCTCTATATATATATATATATAATAACAAATGCAAAAACTGACCTTAATGGAATTATTAATTATTAATATGTTTATCGTGCAGAGAGCTGCCTACTCACATAAGTAAATGTGTTATCTCGTGGGACTGTACGGTAAGATAGTCTTGTTTCCAGTCCAAAAGTCTTTGTAAAATATCATTAGCATCTCCATCAGTAGAAATATGATTTTTATCTGACCACAGTTCCAAGGAGGCTAACACAACAGTCAACTCCAGCTGAGCAAACATCTAGGAATAGGATTTACAGTGTATGTTTCAAAGTCATCAACTATTAGATTAAAAATACAGAAAGAAGTTGGCTAGAGTAGTGGGAACATTGAGAAAGCAAAATATATTCAAGTCATTAATTTTCCATACTCATAAAATGCAAATTAAAGTCAATGTTTTTTTCATAGAATTAGACATCTGAAAAATTAAAAACTTACTGTGTTGACAAGCCCAATAATCTGGAAAATTTTCTGTGTTACGGCGGTAATGTCAGATCCCATATAATCATACTGAAACACAAATTACCTTTTTTAGGACTTGTTAAATATGATAGTAATTTTTCAACAGCCGGATAATTTTGGCAATATAGGACAAGCATAGGTTTTATCACATATTTTTACATGCTAATAGTTTTTATTTTTATTAAAGTTTTATTTTACCAATTACAACTATAATTTTATACTAATCATAATATAATCATATGTAATATAATTTATATTATTTAAACTATAATTATTTGTAATCAATACTGTAATTATACCTTATCTAACTGCATAATGATAATTTTTAATTAGTAATTTTTATTAAAAACAAAGACCCAAGAACACACTGGCATTTAGAACAGACTCAGTGTAAACTTCTAAGACTCTCAAGCAGAATGGGTGAAACCAGAAACTCTAACACAGCTCTGCGGATTCCACCCCATGATAACTGGACCTCCGCAGCCAGACATTGCCTATGAAACAGGAATCCAAAGACTTCTCAAAGCATGCTCAGCAAATGAAGAAGAGAAAATGCATGAAGGAACAGAAAAAATAACTGAAATTCAAAGTCAGTCCTCAGGAGAAAAGACAAACATCATCACAATATGTAGGGAAAATCCTGTTGAATGAATGCATTAAAACGATTCTCTAAGTGGACAGAAGGCAAGACTTGGCTCTTGGCTCTAGCCCAGGCCCAGACATCACCTTTGACTCAGGTGGCAAGCAGTTCATTCACATTGACCTTTTCCTCAGCACCCTCACCTCTTCAGAACCCTTACTCTCCCCAGCCCATGAACCATTCCAACTCTCAATTCTACCTCCCGACTCACCTACCATAATGGGCCTGACAGCCTGGCACCAGAGGCACCAGGCAGGCTCCTGGTTAGCGCCAGGCTGTACCTGTTGTCTTCTTGTGGACCCTGGGCTAGAAGCGCCAGGCCCATTTCCCCAATTTTCAATTGGAAAAAGAATACGGATTTGTGTAGTTAGGTTCTGTGAGCATGAACATAAGATATGAGTCATGCAACAATTTGCTGGTCAACATTTCCCAAATCCTCTTCACTATACTCTCCAAAAGATGGGAATTATAGTGGACCCTTTTAGCTCTTCTCTACATCTGTACTCTTCCTTTAAACATATTGGTGTGTGACATCGGATCATACTGTGTGAAGATGTCTCTGTTTTACCTAATCTCCCTAAGACACCTTCTGATTGATTTAATAAAGAGTTGAATGGCAGGAGAGAATAGGTGGGACTTCCTGGCAGAGGTAAGAACTCTGGGAAGAATCTGAGAGGCTAGGGATTCCCCAGCAAGATGTCGAGGAAATCAGACGTAAGCTATTGAGGAACGGTAACGAGTCATGTGGCAGAACATGGGTTAACATAAACAGGTTAATTTAAGTTTTAAGAGCTAGTTGGGAACAAACCTAAGCTAAGACAAACCTTTCATACTTAATAAGAAGTCTCCACATTATTTGGGAGCTGGTGGTCCAAAGAAAGACCAACTGTACATATTTTTATTATTTCTTTGAGAAACTAATATTGTATATTTTAATCATACTCACCCCCACTTCTTCCCCAACTCTTCCCAAATCCATCCTATTCTCAACCCCTCAAATTTGTGTCTTCTCTTTCTTCATTTCTTTATCTTTTTTAATTTTTATAACCTGTGGAATTCAGCTTGTACTTCCTTGGATGTGGGCCATCCACTAGAACATGAGCAACCTACTAGGAGCCACATCTTAAGAAAAAACAAAATCAAAAGCAAAACAAAAAAACCTGACTCTTTGTCCCCTAGGAGCCATCAACTATCTATAGCTCCTCACTTAGGATGGGGGCTCAAAAATCCCTTCCCAGTCCATACTCGAGTGTTGACCAGCTTGATCAGGTCTCATGAAGGAAAATACAACTTCTGTGAGCTCATGAGAGAAATGGTTCTGACCAGAAAGCATTGTTTTGTTGCAGTCTTCCCCAACCCTGTCTCTTATGAGTCTCTCTCTCTCTCTCTCTCTCTCTCTCTCTCTCTCTCTCTCTCTGTGTGTGTGTGTGTGTGTGTGTGTGATATGATGTCCCATTTATGGCCAAGCACTTTGACTGTTATTAGCTACACTTTGATCAATTGTGAGCTTCCTTGTTAAACACTATGAACTGTACAAAGAAAACTTCTCTAATGAGATATGAAAGCTACAGTGACCTACAGATATATAGATATGAATTTAGAAGGCAACTTGATATATGGTCCATTTAGCAAAATAGCAAATATAATTAAAATATACAATATTAAATTATCAAAGAAATAATAAAATATGTATAGTTGGTCCCTGGGGCCTGTGAGAGCCCCAACCATGGGTACTTAGCCAGACTTACAGTACTAGGCATGCATTTTCTCCTGTGGAACAGGCCTAAATCCAATTTTTAAAAAATAGTTGTTGGTTACTCCTATAACATGTATGCCACTGTTGCACCTCTGGGCATATTTTGCCACACTGGTCACTATGTAGTTCACAGAGAACACAGTTGAGTGAAACTGTTGATGGCCTTTCCCCCAGCCCTTGCCATTACTATGGAAGCTAACCACCAGGAAGACATTTCCTGGTCAATACGAATTCTAATGCTTTATGTTTTATGCCCAATATATGTGCTGTCTTCCATAATAAGGTCTCACCAGCAACTTCTGGTGGGCAACTAAGAACATTTTCTATAGCCTACATTATTTTGGGGTCTCCAGGACACTTCTGACCAAGAACACAAAGGGAGGTATCCCATAATTAGCACTGGGAAACTTATTTGCAACCTTTGGATTCTGGAAAGAGTATCATCTCCTGTGTCGAGTAATTCAAATTAAATTCCTTTATATGCATATATAAATTGGAAAAGGTTTCCATATGGGACTTTAGTTATCTCTTCCATCACACTCTCCTCTGCCCTACATGCCCATCTCTGACCACTTTAAATCCCTCCACATTACTGAAAATGCAGTCTTAACTGATTCCATTTGTCATGCTGCACAAATCCTTCAGTATCTCCCAGCTACATATGGAATGAAACACAAGTTTGCCTTAAGCTGGGATTCAGCTACCTTGTTTGGTCCTCCCATAAGCCTACAATCCTGGAATGGTGGTTACATCCATTTCAGTTGCATCAACCCATCTATCACTCAGAGTGGCATATTTCAGAGACTCCTGCTTTGGGTTCCTACAACTGTGTGCATCTGTTAAATTCTTCACTATTTACCTTAGGAATATTTGTGCTCTGAATGTCGAACAGCTACGGCACCTTCCAGGATTGTACTATTTTTCACATTGTTTATAGTAACATACACTACATCACAGATATTTCTCTTACTGTTTAGCTGTCTTTTAAAAATCAAATTTCAAATTTTATAAAACAGACAATATTGAATGAATAACAAACTAAAACCCCTGTGACTTCAAAGAAAACAAATTATTTCTGTCTCTAAATTTTTAATTAAGAAGGAGGAAAGGAAAAGGGAAGAAATGGAGGAGGGTAGCGGAATGAAGAGGTGAACAGAAAAGAAAGGGAAATAGGAGAGGGAGAGAAGAGATGGAAATGAGATGGAAGGGGACCAGAAAGTATGCAGGACGGAGAATGACTTACCAAAGATTTTCCCACTATAATGTGCAGTTTCAGACTTTGAGGTAATAATTGTGAGTGATTTTTATCCTAGAAAACAAGCAAAAATATTAATTGTTAATATGTACTGAGATTTTTTTTTTGACCAGTGTAGGGGAACCTGTAGCCACGCCTGCTTCTTTTCTGGCTATGTCCTGCCTGTCCATTGGCTGAAACAGCTTTACTCATCAACCAATAAGAGAAACATATATTCACAGCATACAGAAGAAGGACCTCCCACATCAAATAGGAGTAGAAACATGGGAAGAGAAGATCAGGGAAAGATGAAGAAGGAGAGAGGACGTCAGGGGCCACCCAGTCACCCAGCCACACAGCAAGCCTCGAGTAAGAAGTAAATAAAGATTATAGACTAGAGAAAGATAAAAGCCCAGAGGCAAAGGTAGTTTGGATAATTTAAGTTAAGAAAAGCTGGAAGAAATAAGCCAAGCTAAGGCCGGGCATTATGTATATGTCTCCTCTTGTTTAGGTATTGTGTTTATACAGATCTTTTACTTGTAATAGTCAGAATTTATAATTAGGTTAGGTTTTCTAGATTTACAGAGATGTATTTGAGATGGTTAGGTATTCTTCAAACCTTTCAAAGACCTACAGAAATATGGCATTTAAATGGTTTAGGGTTATTCTTGGCAGTGAGACACAACTGCTCCTGACACACCAATTACGTCAGAAAGGAGGATGGGCATCGAAGAAACTCATTATGGAGTTTGCTTTCAACATGGCAAGATTAGCCATTTGGGCAAGAAATTGCTCTTGCCTAGACTGTTTGTTGCTGTGTAAACTAAACATTCAGGACCCACAAGAAAGTGACTGCTGAATTTACAAAACAAGACAGTATTGAAGGGTTCCTGTTGAAATGGAGAAGTGTGCCAGACACACTATGGCCTATGGGTTGAAGATGGATGTCCCAACATTACAGAGGAACTTTGGGTGACTGTCCAGGTAGTGAGATGTCTCTCTCAATTCTAGAGTTTATATATTATCCTTCTGTGGTCTTTGATAGAATTGAAGACAGATAGTTATGGTTATAGTTTTCTTCAGTTATTATAAAACATAAGTTATCCTTCTTGTATTTAGACAGAAAAGAGGAGATGATGGGGAATGTACTGTGTATGTTTATCTTATTGATTGTTAAATAAAATACTGTTTGGCCGACTAGGA